AGAGTCAGCACCAACAGCGTCATGATACGCAGAGCATCTGACCTTGACTGAGTCTTGAAGGGCCTTGTCCCACTCAGAGTTTCGCGCCCTTACAACAGAGCGATTGGCATACGAGTGGTTGTGTTGTGAGCAGAGGCATCGAAAGAAGAAGCTCACGTCAAAATGAGTGATTGTTATCACTGGCAGAGGCTTGGTCGTATCCGAGGGATGATTGCTGGGACTGTCGTGATCGCCGGTGGGCCTCGGTTCGTTCTTGTCACTGTGCACCGGCAGCTGTGTTGTCATGTGAATAATAGAAAGCGGGACAGCATGGGAGAGACCATACTGCGTGTGCCTACGAGGAAGGAGTTGCTGTTACTTCCCTCGTATCTTTAATCGATTCGTCTACATTGTCTTGCTTGTTGGCAGATGAGCCGTGGTTGTTGTCATCTGCGTCGGTCTCCTGTGACTAGGGATGCCTTCAGAGGTATGCGGGTCTTCAGCAAAGCATGCATTGGGTAGCGTCGTGTTTATAACAGGGATCTGCATGAAGCAAGCTCATGTTCCGTGATAAGGATACAAATTGAAGGCAGCTCACGTCAAATAATGAAGGGTTGTCGTCACTACCAGACGCTTGTTGCGAAGAATGGTGACTTGCACCATCGTTATTGCCAGAGAGCTCATCGTCGGTGTCATGACAGCGCGGCTGTGTGCCGCCGCCGAAAGCAGTATGAATGGACAGACAGACTAAAAATAATGGGTGATAGCATACCTGCGTGTCACTGAGACCAAGGAGTTGTTGTCGACGTGCTCCTTCATCGACCTTTGTCCTTTCTCCTGCCTTGTGTTGCTCAAGTATCTGCTTGATAGACCAGAGCAGCACATTTCCGCTGACAACTCCACTGACGAGCAGTTCTCCATTGGGAGAAATCGCGACAGACCAAATGCTCGTGGTGTGTTTGAGTGGATGACCTATGTGTTGGTGTGTCTTTGTGCTCCACAGCCGCATAGTCTTGTCGTCCGAGGCAGTGGCAATGAAGGAGCCGTCATACGAGATGGCGAGCGAGTAGATGGAGAAAGTGTGACCGGTGCAAGGTTGACCGATCTGGTCTGCATTGGACGAGTTCCAGAACTTGACTGTTTTGTCAGATGATGCAGAGACAAGTTGCTGGCCGTCAGGCGACCACACAACACTTCGAACATAATTTTGGTGAGCGTTGAAATTGAGAAGAAGCTCGGCGTTATCGGTGCGCCAAACTTGGATGACACCTTCTAATCCGCAGGCTAATTTTAGCCCTTCTGGGCTGAATGCCACACTGCGCACCGAGTTACTATGACCCTCGAGTGTTGCGAGGACAGCGCCGGTCTCTGCATTCCATACAACAACCGTGCGATCAATCGACCCGCTTGCGAGTTTCTTGCCATCGGGTGAGAAGCACACCGACCACACCAAGCCTGTATGCTTCACCAGCGGTTCGAATACTTTCTGCTTGCTCTCGACGTCCCAGATGATGATGGTTTTATCCATTCCACCGCTCGCAATTCGCCTGTCGTCTGGTGATACGGCCACAGAATACACCCTGTCCTTGTGTCCCTTGAATGGCGTTCCTACCAATGCTCCTGTCTCCAAGTCCCAGATGCGCAGGGTTTTATCATATGAACCAGTGACGACCCGTCGACCATCTTTGAAGAACGCGACTGTTTCCACGTTCTGCGTATGCCCTTTCATCATCCGCATTGGTGCCAGTTGCCCTTCCGTTGTCTGTGCTGGCTTCGGCTGCCGTCTCAGAGTGAGATCCGCATCTCTTGCTGCATCAGGCACCCCTGACATATCGCGTTGGCCTAGACAGAGATATAGACGTTCAGCAGCATTTGAAGTTGACGAGGACCGTACGTTTAGGATATCCTTACGTTGGGGGTCTGGTGGTGGCGAGTAGTGTTGGACTTCTGCCCATGACCCAGCTCATGTAGGCGCTTATTCAGGGTTCTTCCGAATCACGCTGCCACGGCGTGGATTTCATTTGGCTTCTTCCATCATCACTGCCCCCTTTATAAACGCCCGTCATGTATCAGTGGCCCCTCCATTCTGTATACGAACCCGCATGCATCTAGTACTACCATATACCACAGTCTACCCTTCTGCAACCGTATATTTCTTCCCCTCGATCATCTTTCATCATCCTTTATAACTCACCCTACTTTGCCACAGAACCTATATAGAACAATCTCTCGGCGCTCATGTCCGATCACTTCCGGTTATCGATGGAATGTTACAGATTTGTTGACGGGCATGCGTGGTGTGTACTGATTTACTTGCTTCTCCGCACGATAACGATCCGTACCACCCTAGCCACATCTACGCTACTAGCACCAGATTTCATGTGGACAGTTTCCCCTCTCTGCCAATGCTTCTCTCGACGAGGTGCTTGATCGACACCCAGAACCGTCATCAGCAACTGCATTCAACGCAAATGCGCATCGCAAGCGACTCATAGCGAATGTCGTTGTTGCTCTTGATCCTTCTATTGCAGTCGTAAGCAGAGTTTCAAATTATCTGTCTCAGGTGATGTTTCATCGATCGTATACCTCTTCCGTTATCTTGGGATTCTCTTGCCGTCTGGGTACCCTTGCCGTGTGCGTATGCTTTCGCGTTTCTCGCCCTTATGTTTTCTCACCGTCATTGCATTGTCATGTTTGTTGTGCGGTAGGTATACCTATCGGGTGTTTTCTATATTACAGAAGTGACGAATATCTATGGCTATATTCACCATCTTTCTAGAGAATCAAAAGATAGGCAGGGATATAACTGGGTAGTTCAGGACTCCGTATCGGTGAATCAATTGATAGTACAGTTTCTCCTTATTTACAGGCATATACTCGAATTTGTTTCCTTCGTCGTGCTCTAAGAGCTGAAACTCGAGGCTCCCGTTTTACCACCCCCCTAGCTCAGCTCCAAGGACTTTGCGTGTCAGAGCCGCACTTTCTAGGTCAATGATATGTGGTCTCTATCCACAAGCAGCAGCAGCTTAGTCTGCTATCATTTGAAACCTGGCAGCGATTCTCCGAAGAGATGAAAAAGTAAACGGTAGATTCAATCAACTCGGTGACAACAAGTAGGCCATGGTTCTACCAGAAGGGTATGATGAGCAGATAAGAATGTTTAACCAAACTTTAAAAATATAGCCGGAGGATAGCAGCCTGGAATATTCAATTGTGAGCACCAACATATGAAATCAGTGCATCTGCACACCATCTTGGAACCGAGCCGCTATAGCCACACCTTCCTTACGAAAATTGACCACGCCACGAAAATCGCTGAATACCACATGATCCTAAATATTCATTGACTGAGAGATCTCAAATCTTAAGAATGATGGACGTGAAATACCTCATAAAAAGCACAGCTGTCCTGAGTAATGACATCAAGCGGCAACCCAAGAGTGCCGAATACGCGGTGTGCGAATGTGCAGCACAGCGACATCTGGGCGAGCGCCACGAATCGCCGAATGGATTATGTATGCCGCCTTGTTGAGGAACCGAATGGGTCCAGTTTTCTTATGCTGCATATTACCTTCGTGGTCTAAGAGAAGGAGGAGCTCAGGCTGGATGAGCTTGAAGTGAACACCCTGGGGCAAGTGGTGAATATTATGGTTTTTATCGTGACATGACAAGTGATCACCCAGGGGTTAACCCAGTAGCAATCTGGCCCGATCAGGTCCTCATTGACAGAGCAATTAGATGTCGCACACATCATGTTATCAGTGTCATCTTACCCGGACAGTGATGTGTCCAGCAACACCTGCGTCAGGGCCGTACTTCGCTGCGTTGCGTGGAGACGATGCTGCTTGTTACGAACAACCAATATACTCACCGAAGATATGATACGCTTGAGCCAGGCGAAATTTCAAGACTGGTGAGATCTGGATTCGCGCTGTTCGGGAGAAGGAACGTGTGATGTGATGTGGTTCTGTGTTTGCATTTGCCTTTTGCATTTTTAATACCCCGCTATCTCGTCTCTTCCAATGTCTCTTTTACACTTTCCTTTCTTATGTTATGTCCTCCTATCATCTCCTATCGTCTCGTGAACCGGTTTCTTGATCTCATCTCATCTCATCGCGCACCCTCGCGCACCACTCGCTCCTTACGTTTTAGCTCGTACTATTATGGGCCGGATTCTGCGACGTTTTATCTCTTGTTTTTCTTTTCCTTCATACTTGGCTATAGAGATATCGATACTTGTATAGGATAGGCATAGTTATTCCCGGAATCCGGATTGCTTTTTTCCCTCTTTTCTCTTTTTCTTTTTTTCTCGTAGCAGCAGTAGGCGTATACTTTAATTTTAACGAGTCGATTGCATGCATGCATGCATAGGATGGGTGTGCTTCAAACTTTGAACCTTGTAATTGTTTCAAGTTGAGTGGGTTTCTTGTCGTGCGCCTTGCTCGATTTTGCGATATGGTTATTCTCCGGATGTAAGTAGTCAAAGGCAGTGATAATGAAAGCTCACGCTTCATTATCTCGGACAGTATTTATGCTGATTATGGGAACTCAGGTAAGCCAACGGGCTTACACCGGATTGTGTTTTTCCTTTGCTTTCGATAGTACTTATGGTGTTTTTATGTAACAGAAAATCAAACCACGTGATGTACCGCACGCGTGGGACGCGCTCGCTGGTTGAGATGATCTACTAGTAAGTACTTACTACATAATATCGGTTACCATTCATGAATGCCAGATCACTCACTATGAATCGGTCAGTTTTAAATATCTCGCACAATTTTATCAACAATATTAATGCAGTTTTACCACAGCTCTTTGCACAGTCGTTCTAAAGAGGATTCGCAACTCATACCGAGATGTTGAGTGTGGAGTTTGAGTTTCTGGTCATACCACAGGGCTGGTTCGACGTCAACGTTCGACTGACGAGTACTAGTTGAGAATCACCGGTAGATAGTATTTCAATTCTTTCACACCAAATTGCCAGTAGACGCGTGCTTCGTGGCAATATTCTGCTGGCATTGCAAATATCAAACTCAGCATAAAAGCAAGGCGTCTCCCCACTATCCCCCTCCCCCTCACCTCCAGATTTATTTGATCCCATATCACATCCTCACAAATATGAATTTCCCATTTGTCCTCGCCATTGTTGCTGCTTTAACAGCATCAATATCTGCCAGTGACGCTGTCGAGGAATGTCCTGTCTTTTGCGTGACCTATGCAAGTTGCACGCACTGCCCTGAGAAATTTTGTGTGAGTATGAGTAGTTTGCGTTCTTGGATTTGACTATGTGACTCACCTGTGTGGCAGGCCGGCTTTATATGCTTCTAGTGTGGCAGAGAGTCATGTTTCTGCTTTCACATGAGTCGGTGTGGGATGGTTGATGGTGCGATGCGTGAGTTATTAGTAGTTTCGATGTTGCTGAGTTGATTGATAGGTTTGCTTTTGAACAGGTTTTAATGCTGCTTGAGTGATGGAGATCTTGGAATGGAGGACACGCTTTTACTGAATGCCGTGCGTTTATTACTTAATAGCGCTTAGCTGGATGTATGTTGGTCATACTGGACTCGGACGCGTTTTTCCCGCTACCTTGTGTAATAGGTCTTGTAGCGTCAGATTTTCTCGTTTTCCTGCAAGTGTTCAGCGTATGGTGGGAAAGCGCTCCTTCAAGTCTAAAAGCACAAGTGAGGTAAAAGTTAGAGGCGAGTGTGGTAGAGGACGTAGGTGATGAAGTGGGGCATTTTAGATACTGCGAGCTGCAAGAAATCGCTCCTTCCAGTGCTAGGGGACGAGAAGCCCAGTGAATTTTCTGTGGATACCTCTTCATTCCTGATCGATGGTGATCGTTTGGTGTTACGGTTATCCTTTTCCCCTAAACCTCGTCACTGTCACACCATGTCACACCCTTCACATTTCACATCTTCACACCTTCACATGCTCACTCTTCTAATACGTGTACTTCTAGAACATTCTATCGTACGATTCCTTTTCTCTTTTCTCATTGGTTCATTATTATTGAAGCTCCGCTTCTATTATTCATTCGCCGACTCAATACCTTTATATATACCTAGTCTTTACCGTTTGTACTCTTTAACTTGACCTACGCAGACCAGGGCCTGCAATACTACTGCTTTACTCGCACGACTCTAACACTAGGGTGTTAGCTAGAACTTTCGACTACTTTTGATTACTGCTAAGACGTCTGACGACGCTGAGCGTAACAAAAGGTCAAGTTACTTTTCAGACCGCCTGTCCTACGACCTCGGCGACCACCAAGAACCTTGAACTAAGCACCTGCGGTATTTACTGCCGTTGCTGACCGACTAGCCAAGACGGCTACTCGAGGGAAACACTACCCCGGCTTCGACTGGGACGAGACACTAGGAACCTGGACTGCTCCAGACGTAGACAACAACTACTTCACCATCCACCAGTGGAGAACGTTCAGAAACAAGACCGCTAAGAAAGGAACTCATTGGGACTTCGACACCCAATCCTACGTTGACAACGACTTCCCCGAAACACCACTCGTCTCCCCCACTCCCGCACACGCTCCACTTCCTCCCGCACAAGAACCACTTCCCCCATCTCTACAACCTCCCCTAGACGACTCTGACTCAAAATCTGAACCAGAAGACGACGACGACGACATGCCTAAACTTATCGGCAACATACCCCCTCCTTTCAATGGTGATACTCGCGCTGCCAAGGGATGGCTTCTACAGGTAGAAGCCTACCTCGATATCAATGACTCCGTCTACACTATCGACAAGCAGAAGATCGTCTTCGTCTTGTCGCTCATGACCAAAGGAGAAGCCGCTAAATGGGCGGAAGGGCAGTTTAAGAATGCTAGCGCTTCCAAGACTTACGGAACCTACGACAACTTCCTTGAGCAGTTCAAGAAGACGTTCCACCCGAAGAACGTCGTGGACACAGCGATTCGTCGCATCTCCACCTTGAGACAAACGGGAAGCGTTCCCGCCTACACCTCCCTATTCCGCACCATCCTAGCTGATACGGGCATTACTGAAGAGAGCATGAAAATTATGTTCTTTAGAAACGGTCTCAAACGAGAAATAGTAAGCACGATACTTAACTTCGAGAACGTACCCACTACCATAGACGACTGGCTTGAAAAAGCCTTACAAGTAGAATCTCGACGTAGTCTTACCGCACCTACTAACTACAAGTCCCGAGACCCATACGCTATGGACATAGATAGGGTAGAAGTAGGAGGAGAAGAAGAGGAGGAGAGGCAGGTGAAGAAGGCCTACTTAGCACCACAAGAAAGAGAACGCAGGCGCAAGAACGGCCTCTGCTTCAAATGCGGCAAGAAAGGGCTCATTAAAGACTGCCCTAACCACCCCGCATTCACTCCACGAACCCAAACCGCCGCCAAGAAAGCCAGCAAAGACGACGAAGACGACTATAAAGAGTTCCTAGAATGGAAGGCGTTCAAAGCGCGCCAGGCAAAGAAATCAGAGGAGAAGGATTTTGCCTAGAGGAGACTGGACCGGCATCAGTATCTCCTAGAATCGGACTAGTAGTACAATCGATTGGTGACTCTAATTCTATGCGTTTACCACTAACCTTTGACTCTAGCATTGCCGAAGCCGCAGCTCTGATCGACTGCGGAGCAGAAGGGGAATTTATCGACTGGACGTTCGTAAGACGGAACTCCATCCCCACGGAAAAACTACAAAAACCAATAAAAGTTAGAAACATTGACGGGACACTCAACAAACAAGGTCAGATCACCCATGCTTGCAACTTATCTTTCCGAATCAAAGGAATCCACATGGAAAGGCGTTTCCTTGTAACCTCTTTAGGAGGAGAGGACGTCATCCTGGGAATATCCTGGCTAAAGAAAGAAAACCCACAGATAGATTGGACGAAAGAAGAAGTAACCTTACAAGAACGGAGCGCATATGTCGAAGAAGTCGAAGACGAAGAGCAAACGTTCTTCGATACTCAGGAAAACCTAGAAGACGAATGGGATCCTGCCGCAGAAAGTATTCCGTATTCATCCGAAATCCCTAACCTCCTTGACCCCGAACCTGCTGACGACACAGAAGAAGAATTAGAACCAGACGAATTCTTGATCGCCTATTGCAAAGGCGATCACGTCATCGGAACTTATGAAACTTTTGAATCCCCTCTCACAGACGAACACATCCCCACCGACCACCAATATTTCTCTACCCTCGGAACCTTAGTCAGGAAAACAGACAACATCTCCCAAACCCTCGCTCAAGACGCCGCCAAACCGAAGAAAACCTTCGAGGAACTCGTACCAGAGATCTTCCGGAAGTATAAGGACGTATTTGGAGAAGTGGCTAATGGAACTCTCCCACCAGAACGCAAATTCGATCACAAAATCGATCTCAAAGACACCTTCGAACCGCGTAAGTGCAAGATTTACCCACTAAACCCCGCGGAAGAGAAGGCCATGAACGATTTCATCGATGAAAACCTTGCTAAAGGTACAATCGTTCCCTCCGAATCTCCCCAATCATCTCCATTCTTCTTCGTCGGGAAGAAAGACGGCTCCCTCCGACCCTGCCAAGACTATCGCTATCTGAACGAGCACACGGTTAAGAATAACTACCCATTGCCGCTAATCTCCGATCTCATAGATAAACTCAAAAACGCGAAGATCTTCACCAAGATGGACATTCGATGGGGATATAACAACGTTCGACTCAAGAAAACCGACCAATGGAAAGCAGCGTTTGCGACGGCAAGAGGACTCTTTGAACCGACGGTAATGTTCTTTGGCATGTGTAATTCCCCCGCCACCTTCCAATCTATGATGAACGATACGTTCGGAGATATGCTTCAGGAAGGATGGCTAATCATCTACATGGACGACATACTAATTTTCTCAGACGACTTCGAAACCCATCAGAAACGTACACATCGCGTACTAGAAAGACTCCGCCAACATCGCCTCTATCTCAAACCGGAGAAATGTACGTTCAACGTAGAAGAAATC